GTTTCCATGGGCGACGTCGATTGCTTACCATCAGGCGATCCGTCTACTCGTTTACCGGCTTATGTCATAAACAAATTACTAAATAAAAACCTGAAGAGTTTATTTGTTTGAACGAGCCAACCTCAGGATCTGCTAGTTAATTAAAAATGGTTCTTGTGATGGAAAATCCATTTATCGAGGAAGACTATTATAGGCTATAAAACATCACTTTAAATTGCATTGCGTATATACTAACGCTATCAAACGTCCAGCGTTTTTAAAACGCGACGGTTTTATCGATCAGTGTTGCATTTTCAACGCTGGGCTTAGGTGTTAAAGTCTAAATTATATAGCATACGCGACGCTGTTAAAAAAAGCGTTCGTGCGATTGGGGCCTAAGTCTCCCTGGGTGGGGTTGTGGGGTAGGGAGAAATGGGGAAACGGGGAAAGTGAAAACGTGTCAAGCGTCACATGAGGAGTAAATACTGCACCTGTTAAGTCAAGTGTTCAGGTAGTGGGACACCAGTATAATGGGGTAGTTTTTGTGTTTTTAATGACTCTTGCAAAGTTGCGGTTTAGATTTTTGTGTCAATTTTAGGCTCTGAATGTGTGCCGTGTTTTGTAACGGTAATGATTATGCGCCTGTTTCTTTCGTAAGGATTTTTGTTATAATTAGCTGTAGTATATTTTTGATCACCTCGTTGACCGAGAGGTCGCAAGTACGCCTGCCGGGCAAGGAGTCTCGGGTTCGATTCCTGAGTTGGGCAAAGTATTACCGGGTTTCTTAAAAATGTTTAGTAGTAGCACGAAGTCTGGAAATGTTCCCGGTATATGGCAATTAATAGGCTGACCCTCTATTACTAGGGACTCAAAATTATAAATAGATAATGAAAAGTGGGTGTTACATTGTACAGTGGCATAATGTGCACCTTCGCCTACCCCTTCGGGGATACAAGGCGTGTTGTTATATTATGTAATACGTTTGAGATTATCTGAATTTCAATGTTTGATGTATTATTAAAATGTTGTTTTGCAAAAAAACCTAATTAAAAGACTTTTGTTAGTCAGTAACGTTGAAGTTTAAATAAACTATTTTATTTACGGCTGCGATTCATTCAAGAATTTAAGAACTTTTGAAAATTTGTGTACTAAATTTAAATAAAAGAAACAGGAACTATACCGAGTAATACGTGAGAAGAGGTGATCTTTTATGAACTTTGTTGGGATTTAACTCTTAACAATGAAAAATGTTATAAAGATGCTGAAAGTTATTTATTTATTTATTTTTAACGGTTACAACGGCATAAAAATCCAATAACAGTAACTGATATATTTACAACAATAAAATATAAACAAAAGAAAAGTAAAACTTAGTTAAAACAAGGGTTAACACCATTCATAAGTTTTTCTCGCAGTACTTCAAGCATTCTGATAAAATCTCCTTCCATCCGTCTGCAAACAGATCACTAGTTGAATTGGAATAAAGGTTTAATTGCTACTAAAAATAATATGTTAAAATTGTATAATTATTGCCTTAACTAAACTGCGACGTTTCATTGGAAGTGGGTCGATAAGGTAAGCATACACATTGTACAGCGTGCCGCGGAGAACTTAACGGGTTACCGGGGCTCAAAGTGCAAGAGTAGGACGGGGTGGTTTTTAGTCAGTAAGAGTCTGACAACCGCTCCCACCTCACCCAGGCGGGATAAGTCATTCGATGATATTCCATGCTTAAAAAAAATACACTGTACAGCGTAGCTCGTACAAACATTTTCAATATTTTGGAGACCCTAAAATATTTGTCAAGTTCTAGATGTAGACATATATTCTGTTTAAATGTGTTCTCCATTATTCATTACTCAAGCAACAATGTAAGTATCGAAATGAACATTATCTCCATATAATGTCTTTCCAATACCCAACGAGATGAAAGTTTTAAGATAACCATTTTTCAAAACGTCACGGATATATCTATAACAACTTGCAACAAAGAGATCCCCTCGGGGTAATTTTATTCTGTAAAGTCATTGAGTTAATGACTTTTTAACTTGGTCGCTTTGAGAACAGGTACTTTTAATGATCGTAAGAATGCATGAGCAGTCATGAGAAAACAATAAAAGTGTGCTGATTTTTATTAAAGATGCTGTAGTCAGCATTAAGAAGTTCTGAAGAAAATTGTCATTTATAATATTGATAAATAAAAAGGTGGTACTATTATTGATTCTGTACTGTGGTGGTCTAGAGATTGCATCCTTAACCATTGACCTAGAAACATTTTCCAAATTGCATCTACTTTCTAAGATTATTTAGACACAATTGACAAACGGTGAAGAAAAACATCGTGTGGAAACCTAGGCTTATAATTATAAGTTTGAAATCGCCAACCCATATTCAGAAAGCGTGGTGACTAATGCTCAAACGTTCTCTTTGTGAGAAGAGGCCTTTGGTGATCAGTGGCTACTAATAGGCTGTTGATTATGGATTCCAAATCACAGTTTAAACAGATTAGGTTTACCAGAGAGCGTGGTTGCCCAGCTCTTTCAAATGTTTGGTCTCTTAGCTTGTTCTTGCAACACCTATGAAACATGATGACGAAATTCTACTTAATCATACGACTTCCATATCATACCGTATCTGTCTGTCTATACTTCAGTAAATAAAATCCATGCTGCCACAACTCATTATCCCATTTAATTCCAGCATTGTTGGTTTTTGTGTAAATAAACCGAATGTTAGCATTATCCGGTCAACATTGTAACGCGTTTAATTAATTTAACCAGCGTTAACTTGTAACTGGTGTTTAATTAATCACAGCATTTTAATGAGAGCCGACATTTTATATTTGTTGGTTTTTGGTAGGTTGCAATGTGTATTGTATAGTTACTCTGCCAAATATGAATGAGTCTTTAATTTGTTTTTATAATAACTATCGTGAGACATACTAAATTAACTAAAAATTGCGGGTTACTCGCGTGAATATACTGAGAAAAGCTCTACTAGGCAATGTTGCGCAGCCTACTCTGGTTAGGCCGCGATTTGCCCGGGACGGGCAAAGTATTACTAGGTTCTTTTTTTTAAATTCTCAGTTATAGAACGGAGTTTGAAATTGTGCCCGGCATATGGCAATAAGCTCACCGCCTTTTAAAAACATGGGAGTCATAACAAACATAGTGAAATGTGGATGTTACATTGCACATAAGTGCCGTAATGGGCACCTATGTCTACCCCTTCGGTGATAAAAGGCGTGATGTTATGTTATGTTATGCTATAAACTAAGTGAATGCAAAGTCAATCTCACGCAAAATTCGTTCAGACATAAGTTCTATTCACCCTACATTATTGTGTTCATACGAATAAATTGGGATTTGGCGAACCGTGAAGATAAATTATTTCTCAAGATGAAGGTTCATTGTAAACGAGAAATTGCCAGGATAAACCTTATGGTTGTGAATCATTTTGTTTTACATTGTCGTGTGTATTTTACGATAGAGTACATTCGGTCAAGGTTAGAATATCTGTATATAAGACACGATAGATAATATATTGTGTGTCTCGCGGATTCACGTTTAGACACACGGTGGGCTAAGGAAACATATAAACCAGAATTGGAATAACACGACCATTAATATCCGTCGACCTAATAAGTACAAAAAAAAACAATGCCTAGTTTGTATATTGTTTAACTGGATAGAGTAAAGTCGGAAATAAAACTTACAGAATCAAAAAAGGATTATGTTGGAACAAAGATTTTGATGATAACAATCGTTTTATAAATAACGTAAAAAAACGATATATAACCTACATATACAACTCAAACTGAGACTCTACTTTTTTACCGACTTCAAAAAAAGGAGGAGGTACGATGTTCGGCTGATTGTGTTTTTTATTTTTCGTTTTGAATTTGCTTAAAACATAAGTTTGATATATCAAAATAATATTTTATTTGACATATGAATCGAAACTAAAATCTCAAACTAAATCGCTCTAGACTTCCAGTCTAGATGAACATGACAAATATTATGTAAATGAGGCAGGTCGTTATTACATGGAACATCCTTAATTAAGTCATTTTCTTCAGCTAATTAGGCCTTCGTAGTATCTTCTAGGCAGATAAGCGGATAATGATTATAAAAGTACCTCTAATATTGGGATTGATTGCCCTAAAAACGTAGTATGAGATCACAGATTTGATAATGGTTTATTTTTTTTGAAACCTATATCGAAGAATGACTCGTTGGCCAACTGGTTGCAAGTGCGACTGCTGGGCAAGGTGACTTGGGTTCGATTCCCGGCTCAGGCAAAGTATTTATGGGTTTTTTACAAAAATCTCAGTAGTAGCACGGAGCCTGCAATTGTGCCCGGTATATGGTAAAACGCTGACTATTGGACATGGGACTCATAACATAAATAGTGAAAAGTGGGTTTTACATTGTATTGTAATGTGCACCTCTGCCTACCTACCTCTCCAGGGATAAAAGACGTGATGTTATGTTATATGAAAGAATATGGAATTGTTTTATTGAGATTCAATTTAGATTCGCACAATCATTAGTTAGTGACATTCGTAAATATGGTAAGCACGATATTATACATCTAAGATTAAAACATTACTAAGATTTATCAAAATACATAGTCACGAGACGACTGCCTCGTTGGCCGAGTGGTCGCAATTGCGACTGCCGGGTAAGGGGTCTCGGGTTCGATTCCCGGGTCGGGCAAAGTATTACTGGGTTTTAAAAAAATCTCAGTAGTAGCACGGAGTCTGGAACTGTGCCCGGTATATGGCAATAGGCTCACCCCCTATTACATGGGACTCATAACATAAATAGTGGTATAATGTGCACCTCTGCCTACCCCTTCGAGGATAAAAAGGCGTGATGTTATGTTATGTTACATAGTCACGACATTAAGCCACAAAGCACACCAAAAAGATATACTGCATACAAAAAATCAAATAGCAAAATTCGCTCCGTGAAAATGTTTAACAATGAAAAAGGGCGACACGTCCCCAAAACGCCATCATGTCGCTTAACCGTGAGTCCTTTAACATCAAAGCTTACTACCGCAGAACCGTAGAGAAAAACTTCCCTCCTCCAAGCTCCGAGTCGTCGTTAACAATAAAAAAACTTATAAGGTAACTTTTGGAAATCCCTTTCCGCAAAGTTGCGAAGTTGCCCCAATTACATAGATGACTTTCGAAAATAAATCGAGTTTTCTAAACCCGTACCCGAAGTGACGTCAAGTAGTAAATTTTATTAGCGTAAGAGAAAATGATTAATTGATTTTCTGTGTCGAGGCGCGTCGTGTAACCAGTGACAAACAGAATTTGTGTGGCGTAGTGCGAAAGTGTTGTTTGTATTTGTGTTATTTATACGCAGCGTAATGATGGATTATTGTGCTTAGATTTATATCTACAAATATTTTTGGATTTATGATTGTGTAAGTTAATATAAGTCAGAAAGTGATTTGTAGTTGAAAAATCCTTAGTTGTGTATCTGTAATGTTACTACAGTTTAATGAAAGACTCTTGCAAGTTAAAGGATCGGCTCTTGTTTTGTTCTCTTTTTTTTTCAAAAAAACATTGTTCCACACTCGGTTTTCTCCTGTATCGTGGGTGAGTTTACAAACATACAAGTTCATATACAGATAACACCCTGATACGCAACAACAATTTGTAGATCACACAAAGAGTTGTTCCGTGCGGGAATCGAATCGACTAAACGTTGCACCGCAGCCAGTAGCCACCGCGGCAACCTTGCAGTCAACTTCACAATAATACAAGATAATAATGTAGACTTAAAAACAATGTGCACATTTTAATCTCCAGACTTGTAGATTGAATTACACATTAACTTCAATATAACATCTACTTTCACCAGTTTTGGAAAGTATAAGTCCCACATAATAGAACACAACTTCGAGAAAGTAACTGAAGCAGTTTCATTCCCGCCCAAGTGACACCCATGACCTTGATCTGGCCAGGTCAAGTGGACGTGACATCCACCTACGCCTCGCCTTGTTATGAAGCTTCTTATAATGAAGGGCGAAGGGACATTTTCAATGTCGTGGAAATGAATGGCCTTTTTGCAAAGGACTCGACTAAACTGCGTATGTATTTCCAAAGAAAAGTAATGGGAGATTAAAGAAAATAATATTGAATGAACAATAATATCGTGTGTCATATTGCCCTAAACAGTAGGTTGGTTTTTGGTTACAGTGAGGTTCCTAAATAAAGTCATATATTTAAGAAATTATAAAGTTCAATTAATGTTGCATATTTTATCTTAATTTCACGTCTTTTATCCCTGAAAGGGTAGGCAGAGGTGCGCATTACGGCACTCAATGAAACTGTACAATGTAACACCCACTTTTCACTATTTACAACATATGTTATGAATCTCATGTAATAGGGGATGAGCCTATTGCCATATACCGGGCACTATTCCAGACTCCGCGCTACTACTGAGAACTTTTTAAAAACCCAATAATACTTAACCCGACCCGGGAATCGAACCCAAGAACCGGGTACCAGTCGCACTTGCGACCACTCGACCAACGAGGCAGTCTATGTTTTACGGGATACAAAATCTTTGTTTTCTATAACGACACATAAGTATTAGATTTTACACATGTTGCGCATAATTAGGGTTAGATCAACCACATTGAGCTCATATAACGTGCTTACAATCTTACGATTAATAAAACAGTTATCTAAGAATTAATTTTTATGTAACGTCTTTGTTTAAACAACATAAAATCTTTATTAAAACCTCGCGCTCGCACTCCAGCGTTGGAACCCTAATAAGTCTAGATACTAAACAGATTAACTGAACAAACACTGCTTTATTGCAAACGCAAGTTTATTAAAAATGTGAAATCTTGTGTAATTAGAAAACATGGAACAAATAAGTTAAGTTTTTTTTACTTATTTTTATAAACTAGGTTTAAATAAACCGACTTGAATCCCCTGTACTTTTGAAGTCAGCTAATAAGTATACTAAAACCTTTTTCAAAGTAACAAATATATTTCTGAAAACCGTCTCAAAATCGGTATAGCAAATCGCGAGATATTCGCGCGCAAACATACACACACACATACATACAAATATACATACATACATATACAGGTCAAATTAAGAATTTTGTTTTGAAGTCGATTAAAAATATCTAGATCATAAACGACATCTGTTATTCTGAGACTATAATAAAACCGTTAGATATTTAAAAAAAACTTTTATTCTGTGACATATTTTTCTGTGATATTTGAAACAAAAAAAAACAAACGACAAGCTACAATTTTCTTTTCTGATGATTCAGTTAAATGTCAGATATGTTTCGTTTTAATGAGAGGATAAAATGTAAAGAGAAATAGGCATCATCATTATAATAATATTTTTAAAGGATCATTAAAATTACATAAATGGGTAGATGTTATAATTGCATATTAATATAACTGTTAGGTGATACTAAATAACACTAGACCATTTTTACTAAAATATTTCAATGAACTGCTTTATTGGCCGAGTGGTCGCCAGTGCGACTCGGAAATCTCGGGTCCGATTTTCTGGTCGGGCAAAGTATTACTGAGTTTTTAAAACATTCTCAATAGCAGCACGGTGTCTGGAATTGTACCCGGTATTAGCAATAGGCTCACCCCCCATTACATAGGACATATAACATAAATAGTGAAAAGTGGATGTTACATTCTACAGTAGCAATAAGTATAATATGCACCTCTGCCTACCCCTCCGGGGATAAAAGGCGTGATGTTATGTTATTTCAATTAACAACAAACAATTTAATTCAGCTATAAAACATTTGATTTTCAACTTTACGTATAAAGGTAATAAAGACAATAACAGACTGAATCAGTAATCAATTTCACAGTCTATATTAGTGGCTTCATTCGGCCATGTCAGTTGCCATAGAGAATTGCTTAATTCTGAGACCGGAGGGGGTCTCGGTCCCCCTTCAGTTCACTTACCTATCGGAGCAGGGCCCTTCTTGTCATTGACGTCATGTCAGCCATTGATTGTTATTGGAAATTACATTAATATTGAGTTGAATGCCATCAAAACATTGATGGGGAGACAATTTTCTCTACTTATTTAGGTAGGTATATTGTTTATGGTTATTTTTGTTTAATTTGATTGGTTGTAGATCTGAGAGTTCTTTTTTAAACTACCGCTTACTTTGACGTTCTTGAAATAATACACACATAATAATAGATCGACTGCACGGTTGGCGCGGTGGCTGGGCAACTGGCTGCCGCGCAGTCACGGATTCGATTCCCACACGAAGCAACTCTTTGTTTCATCTATAAATTGTTGTTTGGGGTCTGGGTGTCATGTACAATGTAATAAAATTGTATATTTATAATCGCATTCACGATACAGGAGAAAATTCTAACGTGGGACAAAACTTTCCGAAAAAACTGTTATCTATATATATATAATTCAAAGGTGATTGACTGACTGACTGACTGACATAGTGATCTATCAACGCACAGCCCAAACCGCTGGACAGATTGGGCTATAATTTGGCATACAGATAGATGTTATGACGTAGGCATCCGCTAAGAAAGGATTTTGATAATTTCCACCCCCAAGGGGGTAAAAAAGGGGATGAAAGTTTGTATGAAACTTTGTCAGTTTTTAACTGATCGGGTTAAAATTTGGCATGCAGATAGATGTTATAACGTAAGCATCCGCTGTGAAAGGATTTTGATAATTTCCACCCTGAAGGGGGTAAAATAGGGGATGAAAGTTTTTATGAGACTTTGTCAGTTTTAAACTGATTGGGTTGAAATTTGGCATGCTGATAAATGTTATGACGTAAGCATCTGCTTTGAAAGGATTTTGATCTTTTCGACCCCCAAGGGGGTAAAATAGGGGATGAAAGTTTGTATGAGACATTGTCAGTTTTAAACCGATCGGGTTGAAATTTGGCATGCAGATAGATGTTATGACGTAGGCATCCGCTGTGAAAGGATTTTGATAATTTCACCTCCAAGGGGGTAAAATAGGGGATGAAAGTTTTTATGAGACTTTGTCAGTTTTAAACTGATTGGGTTGAAATTTGGCATGCTGATAAATGTTATGACGTAAGCATCTGCTTTGAAAGGATTTTGATCTTTTCGACCCCCAAGGGGGTAAAATAGGGGATGAAAGTTTGTATGAGACATTGTCAGTTTTAAACCGATCGGGTTGAAATTTGGCATGCAGATAGATGTTATGACGTAGGCATCCGCTGTGAAAGGATTTTGATAATTTCACCTCCAAGGGGGTAAAATAGGGGATGAAAGTTTGTATGAGACATTGTCAGTTTTAAATCGATCGGATTGAAATTTGACATGCAGATAGATGTTATCACATAGGCATCCACTGTGAAAGGAGTTTGATCATTTCCACCCCTAAGGGGGTAAAATAGGGGGTGAAAGTTTATATGAAGCTTTGTGCAGATGGATATTATGACGTAAACGTCCCTTTAGAAAGGTTTGAACATTCTCACCCCAAAGTATGATACTTTGCCAGTTTTAAATTGATCGGGCTGAGACTTTGCATGTATAAAGTTACTATGACATAGGTATCTTCTTAGAAAGGATTTTGATAAATTCCACCCCTAAGGGGATAAAATAGGGAATGAGAGTTTGTACGTATATAAATCTTCTTAGCCATTGAATTTAGAATCATTGAATCTTTTTGAATTACATTCGGTAAAACGATGATTTGGGACCTGGGTAACGTTTGATAGTTTTTATCACAGATGTCCCACGGGAACGGGAACTATGCGTCAATGCCCCAGGACTCTCTAACTCTTAACCACTGAACTTATTTTAGAGAGATTCGGTACAAAAATAGTCGATAGAATAGTTTTTATTACTCAAACCTTACGTGATCGGGCACTGTACTGGTAAGATCCCTGCGGGATTATTTATTTATTGAAACTACGATAAATCATTTCAAAATAGGTAAATCTTACTTGGGCACTGAATTGATTCTGATTAGTTCTGTCAGAAGTCATTAATCTACGCGGACGAAGTCGCGGGCAACAGCTAGTTTCTACAATAAAGTAGTCTAAGGTCATGTCATGTTTTTAAGTAAAAATCAACTTAACGTAATTAACAAAAGTCGG